CACTGATCTATATTGCCCAGGTTGGTCTTGAATTAGTAGGGTCAAGTTATCCTGCTGCCTAAGCCTTCCAAGTAGCTGGGACTACAGGCATGCACACACCCAGCTAAAGTAGTACATTACTTAGCAATGTTTACTACTTTTCCAAAGGTGGTAATATGACCCAGATCTGGCCAGAGAGGTATTAACACAAACTGATGGTAAAGCATCTGTGATTATTTTGTAAAAGGGACTAATGCATCCAGTTTGCACATTTTGCTTTCCTCTTGCCTTTCCCTGGAGTGTGGGTATGATGCTTGGAGGTGCAGCAGTCATCTTATGAGCCATGAGATTAAGGTTATTCCCTAAGAAGGGGTAGCACAAGAAGAGAAGGACCCTCCTCTTGAGGACATTATTAAATCTGAATGCAAAGGACCAGTCTATCGCTAGGCTTCTTGTTGCCTGAGACAAAAAGCCACTGTTGGTAGTGTTTTCTGTGACTTGATGCTAAACATAGTTCTAATAGACTTTGCAAAACAAAAACAAAAACAAATATTTTAAGCTATTAACTCAGGTTTTAATTGTACAGGTCATATTCTTTGCAGAAGTTTTTCAAAGGATTGTCCGTAGCGATCTACATCAGTTACTCCCGCTGCCTGTTTAAGTAGATGAATTTGCTCATCTGCCCAATCTGATAGCCCAACCAAGAACTGCACTCACAGGGGCAGGGCCTGGCAATCTGTCCTTTTAATAAACTCCCCAGGTGATCTGTGGGCTTGGGAAATCCCAGCACCACAGACAGCAAGGTTGAAGGCAACTCGGATTTTGTTTATGGCTTTTTCGTTTGTTTGTTTGCTTTGGTGATACTGGGGTTTGAACCCAGAGCCTCACGCTTGCTAGGCAGGTGCTCTGCCATTTGAGCCACTCCTAGTCTTTGGTTTTTGTTTTCTGTTTTTCCCAGTCCTGCACCATCACCACCCCTACTGACCTTCACTCGAAAACCATTCAGGTGAGTCCGACATCCTCCTGGAAGGAGGACGAACCATCACACTTCACTCGGAGCACAGTTTCTTATATGGAGTCACCAAGGCTCTGCTTTCTTTATTAAGTTGGTTTAATTAAGTTTGCTAAGCTTCCTGAAATTGTCAGGCTATCTTCTCCCTTCCTTTTCTGAGCACTGCCAATCAAATTCTCACTTCATATGTGCAGCTGTGCTCGGGAGCTATGCTGGTTGTTTAATAATAATAAATGTGAAATGAACACGATCCAGTATAACTCTGATTTAATACCCTTTTAGTTTATGCTTTCTTAAGTTATTGATTCTTTTCAGGTTCAGTTTATCTTCTTTTCCTTTTTTGTAGTACTGGACCCTGGTCACACTAGGTAAGCATTCTACCACTGAGCTACATGCTCAGTCCCAATTTTGTCTTTTTTGTTGGACTAAAAATTATTTTTTTAAGAAAAAAGACATAGGTGGACAGGATTTTAAAAACCCCAAATCTTAAACCCGATGCCAGTGGCTCACGCCTGTAATCCTAACTATTCAGGAAGCAGAGATCAGGAGGATCATGGTTTGAAGCCAACCTAGGCAAATAGTTAGTGAGACGGTATCTTGAAAAAAGCCATCACAAAAAAAAGGGCTGGTGGAATGGCTCAAGGTGAAGGTCCTAAGTTCAAACACCAGTACTGCAAAACAAAAACAAAACCCCCAAATCTTTCATTTGAGTGTGATGGATGAGAGGCTACTTACAAGTGACTCCAGAGACTGATAAGCAACACGAGACCCCCTGAACTCTCCTAACTTTATCTTTTGGAAGCTCATTTCTCAAAACCTCTCAGAAGTGTGTTCTCTTTGTTGGTCACTGTGACAGTGCAATCCTCAGTTCCTCTTTTTTTCTTTTTTGGTGGAACTGGGTTTGAATCCAGGGCCTTACGCTTGCTATTAGACAGGTGCTTTTACTGCTTGAGCTACTCCACCAGCCCTTTTGTGTGTTGGGTGTTTTCAAGATAGACTCTCACAAACTATTTGCTGGGGGATGGCTTCAAACTTCAATACTCCTGATTTCTGCCTTCTGAGTAGCTAGGATTACAGGTGTGAGCTACCGACCCTCGGCTCCTCTTGACTCCTCCTCTTGGCTTTTGCTCCTCTACCACTTGCTTAGCAAAACCCCACCTGCTCTACAAAGCCTCTGCAGTTACTCCAACCCATCCTACCTGTTCTCTTCTTGAAATTCTTATTTCATTTACCATCAGTATCACTAAATTTTTAAAAGCTTCCTAGAGGGAGATTTTGGCATGTCAGTCTCCGATTAAACATTGTTCAAGGCTGGGGGTGTAGCTCAGTGATAGGACATTTGACTTGTATGCACAAAGCCCTGGGTTCGATCCCCAGCACAGGAAGCAAAACAAAACAAAACCTTCAGTACACATTTTCAACAATACATCCTGAGTGCCCACAAGTTTTGGTCTGTTAGGTGAATAAAACAGTCACTGTCCTATAGGCCTGATGGGCTATTCATAGCTATGATTATTGAGTTATCTACAGAGTGAACAGGAAACAACTTCAAGGCCCTCCACGATTGATCTTCATTTTATTTTGTTCATTTTTTCTTCCGATTCACTTCCCTTTGATCCTAACTAACCTGGCTTTTTACTACTCACCAAACACCTGCCACCTTTCAGTCTCTCTTCATTTGCTCACTTTTTTTTTTTTTTTTTTTTTTTTAGTGGCACTAGGGTTTGAACTCCAGGCTTCACACTTGCCAGACAGGCGCTTTATGACTTGAGCCACTCCACCAGTCCTTTTTTGTGATGGTTTTTTTTTTTTTTTTTCCTCAAGATAGGGAATCCTGAACTATTTGCTCTGGGCTGGCTTCAAACCTTGATACTCCTGATCTCTACCACCTGAGTAGCTGGGATTATAGACGTGAGCCATTGGCCACCAGCGCATTTGCTTATGTTGATCTCTGCTCCTGAAATGACCTCCTCACTTCTCTATCCATGTCATTCTGGTGTATCCCTGAGGACCTAAATGTCAATAAATTCCCAATAAATTTAGTTTCTCATAAAGAGCCCCACATAACAGCAAATGTGATGACTAGTTCTTCATTAAATCCTTGTTTGAACACCCTGGTTGTAAGAGATATTTTGGAGTCAATTAGGGAAATTTGCAAATGAACTGGGTACAAAGCCAGGCATGGTGGTTCATGTCTATAATCCCATCTACTTGGGAGGCTGAGGTGAGAGAATTACGAGTTTGAGGCTAACCTAGGTGATATAGCAATTTTGTCATCTCAAAACAAAACAAAACAAAAGTCAGAGCAGTGACTCATGTCTGTAATCCTAGCTACTTGTGAAGTACAGATTGGGAGAGTCACAGTTCAAGACCACCCAAGGGAAAGTAGGCTGGCATGGTGGCATGGGCTGTCACCCTAACCATGATGGGAAGCACAAATAGAGGATTGCTGTTCAAGCAGGCCCAGGTGTAAAGCAAGACCTTATCTCAAAAATAATCAAAGTGGTGAAGCACCTGCCAAGCAAGCATGAGGCCCTGAGTTCAAACCCCAGTACCACCAAAAAAAAAAAAAAAAGATTTTTTCTTTTAGACAGTCTTCTATGCAGCCCAAGCTAACCTTGAACTTGTGATCCTCCTACCTCAGCCTCCCAAGTGCTGGGATTACTGGTATGTACCACCACATAGGGCTGGCTTTGTTTTACTTTTGTTGTTGTTACTGTTTTATACTAAAAATATGTCAGGTCTCTTCTGATATTCAAGTCCTTTCACAATTTTAACTCAATTTAACATGTGTCCACTGCTATACTAAGCATATCCTATGCTCCAGCCAAAGCGATCTGTTTATTTTTCCCTCAACACACAGTGTGCTTCTGTACCTCCAAGCTTTGGTTCACCATTTTTTGTCCACCTAGATTACACTTCCTCTCCGTCTTTGTTACTCTAAACCTCATCCTCTGCTAAGTCCTCTTACTATGAGACCTTTTGGTGCTAAACTTCCACCAAACGTACAAGTTATTTGTGCAGTTTTATTTCCATACTGGATTCTAAATTCCATTAAGACAAAATACTGCACTTAAGGAGTCCTTCTATGAGCCATCCTTGTGTGAGCGATTTACTCATATTATCTCATTTAATTCTTTCTTCAACGTTGTTAGTTAGGCTAGGGCTCTCCCCATTTATCATTAAACAAACGGAGGCTTGGAGAGATGGTGCTAATGATGGTGAACTCAGGTCCTCCCTGAGATCCATGTTTGTAGCCAACACGCTTGTATCCACCACCTACCCTGCACTCGGTCTGTGCATGTCCTGTCAGCAAGTTAGAGAGAGTGTTTGCATGTAGACCAAGATTCTAAGGAGACCTGGACAGGGGGATCGAGATAATAATGAATTAGGATAGCAAGATTGACAGGAATGTTTCAAATTTCCACTATTGGGTTATAGGGTTTTTAAAACAAGCATTTAAAATATTTAGTTGCTAAATAGGATTGCATCTTCTCTTAAAGTAGTCTCCCATTGTAACCCGTCGGCTCTGTCTCTGATTTTATTGTCATCCCCGCCCCTCGGGAATGATCTCTATGCTCCTGTGTTCCCACAGTTTTCCGCGCTTTGCTCAACACACGGAGTGCGTACTTGTTGATTTTAACGTGTGTGTGTGTGTGTGTGTGTGTGTGTGCGCGCGTGTGTTTGCATGTGTGCCCAGAACTGGGGAGAGAGAGGACGTGGGCGTGGGCTGCAGGATGCATTCCTCTTCCTCATTCTTTTTCCCTTGAGCAGCTGCAACCTGAGGCTTTCCTTCTCGGTGGAGGGGAGGCAGAACCGCTGACCCTTTAACAAGTTGTCTCTCACGGAACAGGTGTCTCCCCCGCCTCTCGGAGGAGAGGGATGGCTGGATACTTAGTGACATCAGCCACAGACCAATGAGAAGTCAGGCTTCAGCAGCTGCACCAATCGGCATCCGGGGGCGGGACCAGTGTCCTGGGAGCCGGCGGGCCGGGCTGGTCCTGCGGCGGCGGTGGAGTCTCGGCAGCTCACGCTGCCCGCCGCGACGCCCGCCGCGACTCCCGCAGCTCCGGCGGCGGCGCCGCCGTTCGCTACCCGCGCGCCTCCCCGACGCACGGCTCGGGCGGCTCCCGCCGCGGCGCGGCTCCCGCTCTCGGCTCGGGCTCCCGCGGCGGCGCGGCTCGTGCGCCCGGGTGCGGGGCGCGCAGGTGGGCCGGCCGCCGCTGGGAGATAGGCCCCCGGGGGCAGCGGGGGACCATGGCGCGGAGACCGGGGGCGCCGGCTGCCTACCGGGAGGAGTTCTCCTTCGTCAGCCCGCTGGTGAAATACCTGCTCTTCTTCTTCAACATGCTCTTCTGGGTGAGCCTTGGGGGTCGTGCGGGCTCTTGGGCTGCAGGGTACCCTCCAAGAGAGTGGAGGTGGGGGCGCTGCCCGCGGCTGGGGAGGGGCGGCGGGGATGCCCGGTGCCAAGCGAGCGTGGTGAGCCGCACTACCTAGTTTTCTGGGCTTGAGACACTTTGGGGGAAATTCTCCTGGGGAGGGACATCGTGGTGTCAGGAAGGGGCATCCTTCCTTACTGCAAGGCATGAGAATCTGTGTCAGGCCAAAAAGGTGGGTTTGGGGGAGGTGCGGGTTTTCCCGTTGCGCTAGAGCCAGCCCCACTGGCACATTCATGATTGGGGACTTTCAGGCCTGGGGGCTGGGAGGCTCCGCTGGCAAAAAAAAAAAAAAAAAAGGAAGGGAGAGAAGGAAAAACCCAAACATCCCCTCCTCCTCCACTCTGGGAGGATGGGTCAAAGGGCTTCATCTCTTCCTTTTGCAGGCCTCAGGTGCCCTCTCTCTGCAAAGGCAGAGAAGGCTTCTAGATCTGATGTCCTTTCCCATCCCAGCATTGCCCCCAAACTTTGCCCTACCTCTCTCAGGACTGGTGTCCTCCCCTGGAGCCTGACAGTCTCCAGCTTCTTTAAACAGGACCCTGTGTTGGGCTGGAAGGCCAGAGGTCCTTTCAGAATCTTCTGCTTGTGGTTGGAGAAGTGGACAAAATAACTAGCCTGGGGCTTCTGACACCTAGCTTTCCATCCCCACTCTGCCATTATTGCTGACTGACCTAGGCAACTAGGTTCAAGTCTGCAGGCCTTCCTTCCCTCCCCAATAAAATCAAACTCAGTGTGATCGGGGATGGCAGAAACACTCTGCTAGAGCTGAGAATTCAGCTGGAGCAGATCATGAAATGCTAGCTCTATCCTGTTTCCTGGCTAGAGAGTGGCTGGGTCTCTCAGATTTGAGAACATAGGGAAGTCCTTGCCCATTTCCTCACTTCTCTGCCTGCTTGACCACACCAGAGCTGCGGCTCTGGGAGCCTGGCATCCTTGTCCACCTCATCTTGACACCAACAGTTTTGATTTGCAGGAGGGAGGAACTGTGAGTCTAAAATGTTTCCTAAGAGAAAAACATCTAAAGAAGCTGCTGGAAAGGTTTCACAAGACCCGTGGTGTGAAGTGCAGACACAAAGTACATAAGTGCTAGCCTGTTGGGACAAATGAGAGAAATCCCAGAGGGTGGTGATGACAGCTCACACTCAGCCATCTACTCTTGGGAAAATTGAAGTTTGGGCTTCTATCAAATTCTGTTTTAGAACTGGAGGAAAAAAAATGTTATCAGGCATCTCGTCCAGCCTTCACATTTTATGTGAGAGAAAGCTAAATCTCAGTGATGTTAAATGTTTTGCCCCAGGGTCCAACAGCTGGTTAGCAGGCTTGATCTGGTGATTTTTCTTCTGAACCAGGGTGCCTCTAGGGGAAGTCCTTAACCCAGATGGCTACTACGGTAGCTGGGGTAGTGGCAATATAGCAGTTAATCAGTCAACCCAAGTTCCCATGGTCTGTGTTCTGCTTCCGCTGGAGGTTAGGGAAAAACAGAAGAAAATCCCTCACCACTGCTCTGCAGGGCTGGGGAAATGTGCTGTGGGGAACTTGTCACTTAGGGACAAGTACCAGTGCAGCCTCCTCATACTCATTGAGTGTGCCAGATTGGAACCTGCCATCTTCACAGCCAACACCAGCATCCCAAGGACCTCAGGTTCTCATTCTGGCTTCCTTTCTCTCTCAGCCAACTCTGTCTCCTTTGGAGCCTTTGGCACCTCATTCTTATCTGTGCTCACCAGTGACAGCAGCTGGGTGCATCTCACCCTATGTTCTTGGTCATTTTCTTGGACTTCTCTGCCTCACTCCACACCCCTTTTATCAGACACATAACTTTGGGAGGTTGCAGCGAGGGAGAGAGTTTCACTCATAGACCCATTTATTTTGGTTACAATGCTTTATTCAAGGTTAGAGGACCTGGCTAGACAGACTGGCACCACCTCCAGTTAGTGGAGAGCCCCTTTTGGGCACTACTGATGATGCAAAAAAGTCAGAGGCTCTAGAAATAGCACAATAAGGGACAAGTGGCCCAGCTTCTTTCTGGTCCCAACTTATGGGGCTACTCTAAGCCAATGTATCTGTCTCTCTGTCATTAATCTAAAGGAGAAATTTGTCTGACTCTGAATTTATTTGAAGATGAATGAATCACTTTGGGGCTGTTTTATTTCTTTAATACCTGGGGCTGGATCGAAGAACGAATCTCTCTGTATCTTAGTATCCCTGGGATATTGCCCATCCTAGGGAATACTGACTGTTCCCTCCTACCAGGCCCAGAGCTGCATAGTTACATTCCACACCCCTGCAACTGGAGATGAAGGACGGCTTGCCCAGGTCAGACATTGTCTTTCTTCCCATCCCACTTCAGAAGGGGACCAGTTACGGTGCTTTGTTCTTTGCAGGCTTCCACTGTCCTCATTAAATCTCCTCTTCTGCCCGGAAGCACGCATGGCATGGACTGTCAACCCACTTTGCAGGCAGAATACTGTCCGGCCAGCGGCTGGGGTGCATGTGGGGGTGGTGTTTGTGTCTGTGCCTGGGCCACATTGGAAGGTAGTATCATCTAGGCTCACACTCAGTGGTGGTGGCAGTGGCCGCCTCTGCTGCTACTGTAGGCTCCCTGCTCTTGGGGCATTTGGAGTCTAATATTGAAAGCTGCTGACTCCCTTGGATCCAGGACCAGTTCCTCCTGTATATGTTCCAACTCTTGCTTTCCCTTTGGCCTGGGAGTTCTAATTTTCTCCCCAGAATCAGGTTGCTGATTTTCCATGGCCTGGAGAAATTGCTCCAAGTTGAATTTAAAACTTGGAAAAATAGCTGCCTTTTTTCACCCCTCTGTGTGCTATGGGGACCACTGGGATGAGTTAAGACACTGTGATGGAAGGTGCTTTATTAGCCCTGGGCATCCATTGTCAGGAATATTATCAGTGCTGCCCCACTCCTTCCTTGCTGGTCCTTTCCCCACTCAGGACAGCACTTGAAGTAGCTTTTGAATCAAGTAGAGTCAAGCAGAGGCCAGAAGCTCATATTTTTAACCTCTGGATTCCAGCCTGGGCATCTTTGGTGGCCATGCCTCTGGGCTCCTGTGCACCTGGTACCTAGCCTGATTGTCACATCCCTTACTTGAGCTGCAATTATGTAGCTTATTTACCTGTCTCCTCTTCTAGACTCCAGGCTCCTGAGGGTAGAGACGGCTTTATTTGCTTCTGGATTCCCACTGCCCAGCTATGTGTGGCAGAAAGTGGGTGTTTATTGAATGGCTAGTGAGAGAGCAAAGCTTTACTGGGTAGAGGCATAACGCCCTTCCTCCCTCCCTCCATCCTGGACATCATCTGTCACCATATAGCACAGCCTCAGTTGCTCAAGCATTCTTGTAGTGAGGTATCCAACTGTGTTCTCTGCTGTTGTTCCTGTGGCCAGGTGCCCCTCCCTCAAGTCAGGTTATAAAAAAAAAGAAATGGCACTCATCCCCTTCAGTATCTTCCCCCAGAGCCACACATGATTACTGTCTAAGCCTCTGGATTTTTTCTTTTCCACTGCAGCATTTATGGTCCCCCATCTTGATCTTCCCTAGGCCAATCTAGGCCACTTGGGAGGCATCATCTTCAAGAAGCCCACTCTAATATCTGAGTCCCTTAAGTCCCTCAGAATCACCTCAGACCACATTAGCACCGTCTCTTGTAACCTGGCTTAGAAGCCATGAGGAAGTGACCAGGCATCGAACCTGGCAAAAAATCCCTCCAGTGGCAGAGACCCTTGCTGCCAGCCAGCCCTCTCCCTACACATACTTCCAAATACCTCAGGAGCCCATCACCCTCTTCTCCACCATCCCTATGGGCTAGGCAGGCTTGGTAAGTGAAGTGGTTAGATTCTTTTATGAAAACAAACAAACAAAAATCCCAAACACTGCAAATAGAGACATGCACACTTTCTTAAGTCCCCTAGTAACTTTGCCTTGTAGCAAGTAGAAAATCGTAAATTTCTAGCAAACTTTAAAAAGAATAGAAGACATAGAGTCTTGGTAGCAGTCATTCTAGGACCATGAGTTCAAATGCTTATACTACCATGAACCCTAGTGGACTCCCTTCCTTATTCATTATTGGAAGACCAAAACAAGCCATGGCCTGGGGGAAATACGAAAGGGTTGGCCCCAGACATTGGTCAGGAAGAGCCCTGTAGACTTTACTCCTGGAGGACAATGCCATCCAGTCTAGAAGGTGAAAGCCAAGAGCCAGTATCACATTGATTTTTGCCACCTCAGAATCCCAGAAACAAAAGTGCCAGGTGACACAGAGGACCCTGCTGTAGGTCCAGGAGGCTGTGACTTCCTTGACTTCACCCCAAAATAAAGTAAGTTCTGAGACATGAAGGGAAGGTCCTTCCTTCCACTCCCCTCTCAGTAGGAACTGGGTTTGTTTTTTGTTACTGATCATTTTTTGTGGTGCTGGGGATGGAACCCAGGGTCTTGCACATGGTAGGTAAGTGTTCTACTCCTGAACTACATCCCCTACAAGGTTTTGATTCCCTTGCAGAGAATTACTGTACCCTCAGCTGTCTTCCACCATTGCCTGTAAGAGAGAAAGAGGAGTGGTCGCTGAGACGGTTCCCCCTACTTCATGCAACGGGTCTTTGGAATGTAGAGATATTCAAGGACAGTGCTTTCTCTTAGGCAGTTTGGGCAGTTGGGCCTAACTATGCATGTCTTCCCCTTTCAGGGTGCCATTCTAGGGCCTTCCTTCTGAGCCATCTTCTGTTGGCACCTTGTTACCTCTGTCACTATCTTCCTTTCCCTGTTTGAGCCCCACCTAGTTTGAAGATTGCCAGCTGCTACCCAAGAGAAGCTGTATCTTCCCGCCCATGTAATAGCCTCGGGGCAATGCATGGAACCCTGGGGTCTCCATGCAGCAGAGATAGGGTGGCAGCCATGTGGCCAAACTCATA